GCAGATTTAGCCACCCAAAGTCACAGCCTCGATGCCCGACGACCAGCCCATAAATTCTACACACAGCTGAGAAAAAGCCCCTAAACCTTCAACTCTGGCTCACATCTTGTTGGTATTCGCTGTCCAACACCTTAAGTGGGTGCAGACGCTTCAGCCGCATCCATGTCTGAAGACGTGAAGCACCACGCCCTCAACCCCCAGCAGAGCCACAGACTGTGAGCTAGAATCGGCTAGAAAGCACGTGCTCCCCCTGAGCCCGAGCCGGACACAACAAACTCTGAGGCGGTTCTGATCCTTCTCATTCATGTAAGCCCTACACCCACACATATATATATATGTATATGTATATGTATCTGTATATGTATATGCATGATGCACATACATACATACATACATACATACATACATACCGATAACGCGCTCTGTGTTAGCCATCGTTCACTCACTTATTTAGATATCCTCGCCCTAAACCAAACACCCCTCAACCCCACAACCCCAAACCCTTCAGCACATCCAGGACTACCCTCTAGTATACCTTAAATACCCACTATCAAGGACCATCAGGGCTCTATTGGAGGGCACTTGGGGGTCCTGGTAAACCCCAAACCGAGTCTTCGCGCGGAAAAGCACTGGGCCACAGCCCGCCATTTCCAAGCGGCCTTTAATGCAATGCGGTGGTGCAAACAGCACCCTGAGCGCCTGTCTGGAGCCTGGGAAACTTCTCAAAAAGAGCCGAAGACCCCAAACATTGAAGAGAATTGAATCCTTACAGCGCCTGAAGTCAGTAAGCGTAACCCTCATGAACTCTTGCAGGTTCAAGATACAAATCCTGCATTACCCAGAATAGGGAATATGCCATAATCCCCATAGTTTAGGGTCCTTATAAGGTACTGCTAAGGATTTATATCCTAAAACCCTAAACCCTAAAGCCCTAAACCCTAAACCCTTGGCCCTAACCCACAAAGGGCCCTTAAGGGAATGCTAACGATGTCGATAATCAGCAGTATTATGACTCCCGGAAGTATCCCCCATAACAGTAATGTAGGAGCCTGATGAAGAATCCGTGGCCCTACAACCCCAAACCGCAGACCGAGGCCCTGAACCCTGAACCCCTAAACCGTTAAACCCCTAAACCCCTAAACCCCCAAACCCTAGCTCCAAGGCCTGGTCCGGTGAGGTTTCCGAGGCCATCTCGAACCCAAGCACGGAGTTACTCACGCAGGCCTGGGGTTTAGGGTTTAGGGTTTAGGGGTTGGGTTGTGAGTTTTGCTTTTTTTTCTTTTAATGTAGGGGGCCCTTAAGGATTAGAAGAGGGTTTGGGGGGGTATATACTACTATACTATGTAGTGCAGGGGCCTTAAAGAATTAGAATAGGGTTTGGGGGTATACAATGCTATACTTATAATAAGGCACCCCCCCAAAAAAAAAAAATAGTATTGTAATTATCTAGGCCCCTATATTAGTCCTCAGCAGTGCGAGAGGGAAGCAATGCTTCAGCGTTTTCTTTATGGGGGGGTTTTATGGTTTAGGGCCAGGGGTTTCTAGGTTCTAAGGGCTCTCGAGTTTCATTAGTAGGGCTTGAGATACCGTGTAGGGTTTCCTAATAGCCCAGCTACCCACGCATTGTCCTGGAGTTTAGGGTTTTTGGTTTAGTGTTTGCCCTCGCTGCCGAGTTCGACCTTTCCGTTTCCTGCCGGTGCACTAATGAGGTGTACGGTCCCACGGGCACGTGGGCCGTGCATGCAGTCAGGCAGAAGGTTTCCCGCCCCAGCTTCTAAGGGTATACAGTATGCGGGCCATGTTTAGGGATGTGCTTCAGGCTTTAGATTCTAACCCTAAACCCTAAGCCCTAAACCCTAACTTTAGATGTTTTAGAGTTTTAGGCGTTTCCATCCGCAATGCAGACTGGGATAAGTAAGCCCCAGGCAGGTGGCGAGCTTGCGAGGGTCCCACTGCCCCTCGGCCAGCATTCCGCAGAAGCTGCAGCTGCTTTCTTGCCTACCCGTTCTGTCTTACCTAATACCCACTAGTAGCACAGTAGTCGTCACTCCGTAGTTGTTCGTAGTAGTAGTAGTAGCAGCAGTAGTAGTAGTAGTAGTAGTACTACTACTACTACACATACTACTACTACTACTACTACTACTAGTCGCAGTCGTAGCAGCAGTAGTAGCATTCGTAGTCGTAGCAGTGGAACCAGAGAATTAGCACTTACATAAGCAGTGCTAGGAACATCGTTGGCTTCACCCTGCTTTCATGAGGCTCCCAGGTGCTGCTGCGGTGAGCGGTGAAGAGGCATGGCCTCAGGTGCCCGAACGGTCATGGCATGGCATCTCGAGTTGATTTTTGTCTGGGGAGGCAGGGCTGAATATAGGGGCCAAAATTATAGAAGTACTGTTTGAGGTTCCTTATTACATTGAAAGTATAATGAGCGCCAAAACCCTATTCTAACTGTTGAGGCCCAGCAGCTTCCAGACTCCACACATCTCGCAGAACCTGGCACCTTCATCTGCACGAGTACACAAAACTGGCTAGGGAAATTCCGCCAAAAGGCCCCCTTACTAAGGGTCCATGTCCCCAAAAGCCTATACTTTGGCCCTGAAGGAGTCCCTACGTACAGTAAGTAATTTGGGCCTAACTATATACCCCTGGGGCTCCAGTTACCTAAATAGTAGGTTATTGGGGTACATAATATATGGTTAGTAACCCACTATTTAGGTAACTGGAGCCCTAGGGTACTATTGGGGGGGTGAACCCATAGTCCTAAGTCTAAGCCAACCTGAACCCAAAGGCCCATCAGTTGTTTCGGAACACACGCCCGAGAACTACCGGTTTCCAATCAATGTCCGGCTTGTAGCCACCGCAAGTCCTATGCATCAAAGACTCTGGTCATGTCCTTCCCATTACAGCTGCTGTGGTTTGGGTTTTCTGCGTGGCAACCAGATAGGAATTACTGTTGTTGTGTTTGCGTATTGAAGTCGCAAAGAGTACATACACGAGTACACACACTTGTTAGCGATATTTATGGTGTGCTGATGTCGTCGAGACTGTTGATATGGCTGTTGACTGTCCTTTGCATGCCCTTCAAAGTCTTGTCATGTAAGCCCTTCACCCCCTCACCCCTAAGACCCCAAACCCTAAAAGCCATCAAGCAAGATCCAAAGCCCAACGCCTCTATCGAACCCTTGTGAAGCCATAAACAGGAAGTCGTACTGAGTAGTACTGCATACGCCCCTATGCTCAACCCTTTTTTAACATGGTTGGCAAGCTGCAGCACTAATGTCGCTTGCACATGACAATTTAAGCCCTAGAGAACTCGCCGGCCTTGGCCAATTCTTCGCCAATTACTCGCTGACATCGGCCGATTATTCGTCGTCGTTGGCCAATAAATAGCCGTATCCTCAAATAATTTTCCGAATATTAAAGCAATAGTCCGAACCCTAAAGCATTAGTCCGAACTTGAGAAATAGTAGCCCGAATCCTAAAATTGTAGTCCGAACCCTCAAACAATAGCCCGAATCCCAAAACAGGTTAAATAAATATTTTCTTAATGCTTGGCATTCTCTGGGCAGGTGGGTGTTAAATCAACCGTACATACAACTTTGCTATATTACTGCTCGGTCCGGAGCTGTTAAACCCCAAACCCTACAACTTGAACTCTAAACCCTAAACCCTATACAAACCCTATGGGGCTCTCCTACCGCAGACATGCAGTCGGAAAAAGGTGCCCCCCAAAAAAAAAACCTATACAGTCTGCTTTTAAGCCAGGTGCAGCTGGCCATTGCCCGTTCCTCCGCCAAAGAGCAACTTCTAGCACCCGGCCTCTGCCTCGCGGTCGCACTGGCATCCAAGGTCTGGTAAGTATAATAAGAAAATATATAATGGTAGTAATAGTCATGATGCTAGTAGTAAAAGCAATAACATAGGGTTTAGGGGTTTAGGTTTAGTGGTTTAGGGTCAAGGGCCAGTTGAGGGTTTAGGGAAAATTACGAATGCTGTTCCCCAATGTTCTATGCCCAAAATGTAACTCGGCCATCGTACCCACTCCCCCAACCCTAGGCCCTATACGAATTGCAACTCATTGAGGCCCTCCAGCGGTCAATCGTGTTGGCTACATTGCTTGACCGTTTACGTTGAACTTGGCTGCTTCCGGAGACGTGAAAACCCCGGAAGCCCCAGCACCGAGGATATGTTTATATGTGAGAGGTTTAGGGTTTAGGGTTTAGTATAAGGTTTTGCTAGTGTATCACAAGCTCTCTGAGGATAAGATGGCCTCTGCCTACACGGGAGAGAGATGTGCTTTCTGTTTTTCTTCACTCTTCAACCCTGAACCCGCACCTTGGTCTAGAGCTTTCCGCTTTACGGCAAAAACTGCCGCGCACATCTTTCTTCATTGGTCTGCGAAGCTACGGGTCACTGGCACAGTCCGAAGCCTCGCACAGATCAAGCTCTGTTAAAGTTAAACAGACCTGGGCCGCCCCCTTCCCCCAGTATGTTATGTGGGCAGGGAATCACACTTGGATTGCGAGGGTTTTTCAGCTTACTAGCTGGGTGGGTACACTTTACACTTTTGGGGGTCATGCTGTCTTCTGTACATCTGAAAATTTGCATTCTTCGGTCTTGTGAATTCAGAACACATGACATACAGACCCTAAACCCCTAAACCCTAAACCCTAACCCTAAACCCCTAAACCCTAAATCCCTAAACCTCTAAACCCTAAACCCTGAACCCCTAAACCCTTAACCCTAAATCCTAGACCGCAGCCGGGGGCTTCAGTCGGCGAATTCCGACTGGCAAAGCCAGCTTGGAGAGCTTGGAAGGGACTCCGGCGGATGTGGGCTTGCGGATTAGGGTTTGGGGTTCCATATTCTATTATTATTGTCTTCTGATACCTCTCTAAATCACTGTTTCCCCAACCCAGGCCCTACTTAGACTTGCCAGCAGGATAGTTGGTGGGCATTCGTAACTGATGTCAGAAGAAATTCTTGGATTTGTTAAAGACTTCGCGCTCCGTGATCTTCACGATCTTCGTGGCCTCTGGAGGCCGAAGCCTCAAACGGGAAGGGTTAGTGAGGGCAGTAAAAGTCATAGATTTAGGGGGGCTTCGACATTGGCTTAGTTTTTAGTGGTATCGATAAACGAGCAATGTAGATATTGAACTAGGCGGCATGCCCTTCGCCGCATATTGTCTAGTGGTGTCGTGTCTAGGTCGTAGCCTATTGTCGTATCTAGGTCGTAGACTGTTCTAGGCGGCATGGCCTTCGCCGCGTCTACTAGTCGTGCCTAGGTGGTAGACTGTTCTAGGCGGCATGCCCTTCGCCGCGTCTACTAGTCACTAGCCGTGTCTAGGTGGTAGCCTGTTGTAGCCTTGTAGCTAGGCGGCATGCCCTGCGCCGCGAATTTTAGCCTTAGCTAAGCGGCATGCCCTGCGCCGCGACCTTAAGCCCCATAAGCCTGAGGCCCTCATAAAATCCCGACTTTCCCCGACATTCTGTTTGAGTGTTCTTCCCGGTCAGCTTCGAGCTTTCGGAATCGCTTAAAGGGTTTAGGGCTGGTTCACGGCTTAGGTTAGGGGGGCTTATAAATTGGAAGCTGCCATGTGCCTGGAAATCATAGTGGGCGTTTATGCTTTTCCCATCGTACCACTAGGGTGGGGATGCCGCTCATTTTGTGTTGCGGTCTTGGGCGATGCAAAGGGGTGCTTGCCTGTAAAGCTCACAGCTGACACATGATTTGGGAGCAGCGGGCCCATCCGGCCAGCACCACAGCAAGTCCAGCCGCATTATCGTGTGATTTGCTGCGGTTGAAGCAGCCGCACATCTCCTGGAGAGTGTTTCTCATGCAGGGTTTGGGGGTGAATTTGTCATTGCTCATGCCAGCTGTCCGTTCTACTGCACAGAAACCTCGCAATCAAGTCACCAGACCCCCTGCCGTTGCTCTGCATCATGCCCACGATCCTTCCGAACTCAATTTGAGAGCAGGTGTGGCGCCATTGACCTGTTTTGTTGTCTGCAGGCTCTCCGGGATACAAATCTGAAATCGGGTTAAAACATCCTCTACGCCGAGGCTTCGACGACCGTTTTAATAAGCAGATGCCACCCGGCCGCCGCCGAGGCCGAAGGTCGCGACATCGGTGCAGCAGTGTCAGCCGTGACTGCAGCTCCAGGCTTCCACACCCTTAAGACATTTTAAGATTGAAATAATAAATCAGAATCGTATGCTGCATGTGGGTTGTGTTGATAAGCGGCAGGCCCTTCGCCGCGACAGGCCCATTAACTGTAGGTAGTGCAGAATCGCTCTAGTTTATGTATGTAGGCGGCAAGCCTCTTCGCCGCGAGTGCCTTGATCCATACCTGAAACCCAGGCGTTAGGACCCTAAAAAGCCGGCTCTCACTAACCAGGCTTTGCAATTTCAAGCTTAAAATTTAATTTAGCCGGGATGTTCAGGGTTTCTTCGACACTAAACTGGGCTTCTGGCTTCTAGGGAGATTTCTCAAGATGCATGAAACTGCTGTAGAACTATCGCTGAGGCCTGACCGTGGCGACGTGGCGGCCCGGCGTAGCCTCGTCATTAGAGCCCGCATCTCAGACTACCGGGCTTGATTTGCACGTACGGTTTAAAGGGCGTGATGCGGGCTACTATTTTGGATTCTAAGCAGCTGTTTTTGGGGTTTAGTTTAGGGTTGAGGCTTCAGGGTTTAGGGGTTTAGGGTTTGGGAATATTTGGGATCCTCGGGCGGGTTTCAGATCTTCACGATTAGTCTTCGGGCTTTGCCAAACAACAGACTAAATCCTCCCCTTGTCAAGCCTTGCCTGAAAGCCGAACCCATCCACCCTAAATCCCAAAACCCCAAAACCCCTCCCAAAACCGCTCCCAAAACCCCAAGCCCACAGACCCTCCTCCAACCACAGTTGATATGAGCACAATTCCGCGGCGTTTGCTTCAAGACTCGTGCTTTGCATCAAAGATTATTGCCTGAAGAACTACTAGGCTTTAGGGTCAAAAAGGGTTTTTTTACCCAGGCCTTAGCGTCCAAACAGGCTCTTTGGGTCACAGAGGGTCTTTGACCAGGGCTTAGGGGTCCAA